CGCTAAACTCTTTTAATCTCATATTTCTTCGATTGAATATTAGTACTATAATAATAATAATAATAATAATAATAATAATAATAATAATAATAATAATAATAATAATAATAATGTGTCGATAGGGTTAACATTGTTCCTATAGTGATCGGTGCAATGGGAGAAATACCAAAGTCCCTCAGAACCAACTTGACAACACTCACCGTAAAACCAGGCGCCTACTTTGAAATGCCTGTGGTACTAGCTACCTGCAACATAATTAGAAGAGTTCTTAATCAACCTCAACTTCAATAGCGCACGTTTCATGTTTTGCTACTCACCTAGCCGACATGAGATGACTCCATCTTCCGATGAGAAAAACAAAATAATATTAATAATACTAATTATAACTTTTGGCTAGTTTCATTTTCAAAGTCGCTAAATTCTTTTAATATCATATTTCTTCGACTGAATATTATGACTATAATAATAATTATGAAATTATGAGAACACAAAAAGACCAAAACAATCAAACGCCGCTACATATTCAGGACAAACTCCAACAAAAACTGACCGTGTACTCGAACAGACTGAGAAGGTCTAAGGAATCAAGAAAACAACAAAACAATTCCTTTCAGAATAGTCAAAATAAATTCTACAGAAATCTGGAGCAAAATGAGCAAGGCGAACTGCCAGCACAAGACCAAACCATCGCATACTGGGCCAATATTTGGGAAAACACAAAGATCCATAACCAACAAGCAAAATGGCTTTCAGAAGAGAAGAGGGTAATAGACAGAGTTCCCACAATGATATAGAACACTGTGACAGAAAACGACGTGAAAGACGCACTGCAAAACTCCCAGAATTGGAACTACTTAACTACTTGCTGAAAAAATTGAACGGACTACACGATGCCCTAGCAAGCCTGTAACATCCATCATGCATCAGGCATTAGGCTGAGGAAATTCCAGACTTTCTTAACACGGGCGCCACCTAGCTTCCCCCCCCCCCCCCAACCCTCCGGTTCCTGACCCGGCAAAATATAGACCCATCACGTGTACAGAAAAGGCAACCGAAGCTGCAAAGAGCAATTGACCATAGATGCTATAGCCAGTGACGAAACTAGAAAAGACTTATATTTAGCCTACATTGACTACAAAAAGGCATTTGATAGCGTGCCTCACTCGCTGCTGATTGAAATGCTCAAAATTTACAAAGTCAGTCCACAAATCACGAACCTATTGCCTCAGTGGAGAACGCGCCTTTTTCTGCAACGTATTCAAGAATGGACAAAAGCTAGCTCTACTGTCTAGAATGCTAAATAAACGTAAAGTAGGTTTCCAGCTCCATAAAGGACAACAAATAGATCATCTGGCCTATATGGATTATATCAAGCTAATGTTATCAACTAAGACAGGTCTTGCTACTCTACTAAGGACTAATAAAAAATACAGTGATGGTGCGCGCATGGAGTTTGGAATCGAGAAGAGCAAGATCAGGGGACAGTGGACAAGGGGACAGTGACCCTGGATTCAGTCTGGAATTAGATAGAACTATAGAGGCCATGAACAGGCGTGACACATATCAATACCTAGGAATTGACCAAGCGAGGGGGATAACCCACTGTAAAATGAAAGTGGTTTTACGAAACCGACTAACTAAATAAAAGCAATCAACACCTATGCTATGCCAACAGTCACATACGGCTTCGGGCTAATTAAATGGACCAACACTGATATTCAAAGTGTGAACTGTGATATTAAAGTACAATTCACCAAAAATAGAGCCAGGCACCCCAAAAGCTCCATAGAAAGATTCTATCTACCAAGAAAGAAAGGAGAAAGAGGTGTACTAGACCTAAAAGATGCTCACCAAGAACGAGTTGACGAATTGAGAAGGTTCTTTTATGAAAAAAGCACATCCACATACGACCGCAACATTGTGAATGCAGATAAGAAACTCACGCCTCTTAATATGGCGGATAAAGACTATCAACCATTGATAGAAATAACCACTGTTGAAGACAAAATGCAGAGATCGAAATCAAAAGAACTACATGAAAACAGTACGCTGATAGCGGAAAATAAGGACTTTATGCACGCCATTCATGATCAGCAGGTGATACCGACATTAAACTACCGCAACTACATAATAGGAGATCCAGACGTACAAGATGACGAGTGCAGAATGTGCCACACCAAATCAGAAACCATAGGACCTATAATCGCTGGATGCACAACTTTAGCTCCAACAGAATACCTCAGAAGACACAATAACATAGCTAAAGTAATATAACAGGAAATAGCCCAAGGGATTGGTGTTTTGATTGAGATCCCTCCTTACTACGCTAGAACCTGTTACTGAAAGTGAAACCCAGAAAATATACGGGAACAGAAACATACTAACAGATCACACGATGGAACACAATAGGCCAGGCATTATGCTACAAAACAAACTCAACAAACTTACTTACCTGATAGATATTGCTGTACCGGCTGCCCATAACGTCCTGGGAACACAGATTGAAAAAGTCCGAGGATACATGCCACTCGCCGCCGAAGTGAGAATAATCTGGAACCAAGAAAAAAAAACGCCACATTGCTCAGAGGATCTTGAATGTCAATTCCTGAAAACAAAACAGATTTAACATCACAAAACTACTGGGGCACTTGCTGAAAGCCGTGTCCAAAGTACTTACCTGTGGAAACGTAAAAAAGAGGAATAATAATAATAATAATAATAATAATAATAATAATAATAATAATAATGATAAAAGTAACAATAATAAAAATAGTAATAATAATAATAATAATTATTATTATTATTATTTTTAGTTTTGGTTAGTTTTGTCATGGTTTTACAACACAACACAATAATTGTTATTTTATAGTCAATTCAAATATTTCAAATATCTTTAGCACTTTAGAAAAAATTTCAAAATGTAATAATATATTGGTGTTTCATTTGAAATAATAAAATTGAGAGAAACTTACGTTTGAACCCGAAGTGACAGGAAATTGAAAATTTATTTAAGAAGTGCACTTGGACTTAACCGCCAAAATTGAAAGGCTATTTTTAATGAACAGGTTGGAAGTAAAACCCTGTTTTTTATACTGAGGGCAAGGAATATGAACAAAACTAGCAGTATCGATGTCATGCGACGCCTTCACTGTCCGAATTTGGTGATTGGACTTTCTTATCAGTTCTTCAAAAGTATTGTTTAAGCCTTCACAGTCTATCCTCACTTTAAATGGTTTCTATTTTTTTGTTAGGTCTCCAAAAGGTATTGCACCATATTAGCAGAGTTAAATTTCAGTACAGTGTTTATTTCGAATGAATTTATATGTATAAATTCTATTATTCGTAATAATAATAATTCTAATACGTCATCACTAAAAGTATATTATGTTATTGTAAGTTAAACTCCGTTGGTAGAAGATCTGTGTTATGTCTAACAACAGCACATCGATCCGTGTCACGTGTATTTCGTTACTTTGTCTCAACATTGCTCACTTTGATCACTAAAAATCTAAATCTAAATGAAAGCACATCAGGACCATTTTTCATATTTCAAAAAGATTGTTTATTTCGCTTTTTACATTTTCCTATTAAAACAATATGCCGGAGTACTAATTTATTCGCTACATTTGTTGGTTCCATATTAGTAGGGAATCAATTGGTTGACATAAAATTCAGAACAGTTGGACATTTTATTAAAAGCTCTGTATTTATTTAATTTTTTTTGCTTTTTATTTTTGCGAAGTATGTTTTGATACGGGGTACCCAAAAAAAACCGGAATCATTTTTTATAAACTATATATTGCTTTGAAAATCACCTTATCCTCTTCAAAATACTCTCCATTACAACTAATACATTTGTCCCAGCGGTGCTTCCACTGTTCGAAACATATTTTATGTTCATCTTTGGCTATAGCCGACAGCTCATCCCTCGTTTTTTTCTTGATCTCTTCAATGTTGTCAAATCGCTGTCCTTTCATGTCCCTTTTCATACGTGGAAATAAGAAGAAGTCACACGGAGCGAGATCAGGCGAGTAAGGTGCATGGGGCAGAGCAACCATGCCATTTTTAACCAAAAACTGCTGCCCCCTGTCCACCACAAATGTCTTTTTGTCGAATACTGTTGCGCAATCTTCTTACAACTTCCAAATAAAAAGCTTTATTAACGATCTCACCTGGTGGAACGAACTCTGCATGAACTATGCCGTTAATGTCGAAAAAGCAAATCAGCATCGTTTTGATGTTTGATTTGAACTGACGACATTTTTTTGGACGGGGAGACAGTGACGTCTTCCATTGGCTGGACTGTTGCTTCGTTTCTGGATCCGTTTCAAGCTGTTGATTCAAAGCACAACATCTTTCAACTCGATGTTCTTTTTGCATGTCAGTCAGAACACGAAGAACAAACTTCGCAGCAACTCTTTTCATTCCCAAATCTTCCGTTAAAATTCGCTGAACCGTGCTCCAAGACAACCCACTAATCTTTGATAATTGTTCAATTGTCTGTCGACGGTCTGTGAGCACAAAGTCTCGAATCTTTTCAATATTTTCCTCGATTCGAGCAGTTGATGAACGTCCAGAAGCTTTTAACATTGAAACCGTTTCAGCAGCACTTTTACCGAGCAGAAAACAAAATTTAACAGCTGCACGTTGTTCTTTTAAACTTGTCACCGAAAAAAACGAAATAACAAAAAAACAGCGTTAACAAAAATGGCACTGCAAGGGAACAAAACAAGTTAAATTTAAAACGAAGGTGGCGTTGAACTCGCAATAAGTTGTACTATCCACAACCTAGCGGCAGAAAGGTGTACTATACAAGCTCTGCGCGCGGCAATTCAGTTCCGGTTTTTTAAGGGTACCCACTCGTATATCTTTCTAAAAATTTTTTTTTTAATATTATTTCCCTATTGTATACATCGAAATTAATGTGCCCTTGGTTCGATCAATCGCTGAACGCTTCGTTCTGCAATGTGTCATGTTAATATCTACCCATTTTGTTACAGATTGTGGTGGAGAACGGCAACAAAGATTCCGTTTACACGGAAACTTGCAGCCCACTGAACACGGCCGGTATGTTGTCAACTATTCTAGATTGTTTACTTTTGGTTGATTGAACCTGAGCGTAGCAGCAACTAACGATCCGGAATTCAATTAATCTTTGCTTGCTATCTTTTCTATAGACGCAAAGTGTAAACAATGAAATCTCCTCATCTAATAAACAAATAAAATAGATTGAATTTATTAATTAAAAACAAATGGTGCTTCTTGAAGGGTCAGAATTTAAGAAGCGCACATACATTTATGCAAAAATTCTTCGTAGGAAGGAAAAATATTATTTATAATTTAATATATGATACAAATATATCGATTTGCGTACTTTCTCCCTCTGTATATCCAGAGTGTAAATAAGTTGGTCCAAACGCAGGGAAAGTCATTTCCGAAGAAAATGCTTCTATGCCGTGGTATACCGGGTGACACAAGAAAGTGGGAACACTCTATAACTTTTAAACGGCTTGAGATAGCGACTTGAAATTTGGAAGGGTTAATATAGGCTTAATGTCTAATTTTTTGACAAAATGTAGTCAACGGATTTTTTTTTTGAAAATTGCGTCTGGGAGGCTGTGATTACTATTTACCGGGTCACCTGATCATGGGAAAAATTGTAAATGAAACTTTTCTTTACTTGTCTAATTGCAAATAGAATTTAATATAGTGAACTATTAATTTTTTAGGATAACCCAGCTTTTTAAAGCCAGTATTTTCTTTCCAACATTTTGACACCCAAATTTTCAAAATCCGTTGAAAAATAAGCTCACAGGAAGGAAAAAACAGATAAGTAAATAAATTTAGAAACTCTCGACAAGCTCGTGCAGTGGAAAGAAAAAAACAGATTAATATTTAAAAAAAAAATTCAATTGATAGTTTTTTCTGAGATGTCGGTAGAATTGATTTGAACGTGGTATATCAACGTGTGTTCCTGTAAGACAAGTTTTACTTTGACACAAAGTATCCCATTCATTTGTTTTAATAAGTGCGATATATATTTACTTAATAACCAATGTATTTTAAGATGATACTTTCATAGAATGTTTTCAAAATGTCCAGATTCTTGTATACGACACTTTCCAAAAATTTCTGGAGTTATACTATCTAATGCAGCCGTTATTCTCCGCTGTAATTCTTGTAAGTCGCACACCGGATTTACGTAAACACAATGTTTCACCAAAATAAATAAGAACTAAAAGTTCAAATTTTCCCGAAATTATATATTATGACATGACAATTGTTTCGACAACACTGTGTCTTTATCAAATTTGATAAAGACACGGTGTTGTCGAAACAATTGTTATGTCATATGGATTTTCATCAAGGAAAAGCCACCTCAGTTCAACAATCTTTCACGTACCCCCAAACAAAAAAATCTAACGGTGTCAAGTCCGGTGACCGTGGGGACCAATTGACTGGGCCATGTGTTCAGATTAGTCCCATAAACATCACGCAGGTGCTCAGTGAAATCTTCAAAATTATGAGGAGGCGCGCCATCCTGTGCAATAATTCGCTTTCCTATCACTCCTGCCCAAACAATGATTCCGAACCGTTCTCGAAACTGTCCAGGACGAATAATTCTTTGATTATTCAGACCAATATCTGTTGTTCTGCCCGTTAAACATTACAAATTATTATTCTCGTCATGTTTTATCTAACAACCAATTACAATATCGAAGTCTTCTTACAAACTCAGCTTCATTAAAGCTGTTGATGAAAGTTGTACTTAATAGAATGATAGCCGTGCTTTTTTTTTAATTCTCCTCACAGATTCTGTTGAGATGTCTAATTCTAATGCCACTTCTCTTAGCGACGCATCTGGATTTACGATGATGTATCCCACAACATTGATTTCCATTTCTTCACTTATAATAAAATTATCATATCGATCGATCGATAATTTTGTGGATTTCTCGTTTTTAATTCCAGCTTTCTAAAGAAAGAATGTGCAGGAAGGCGATGTCCCGAATAGCGGGCTGCAGAGAGATTTTTCTGCATTTGCCGTATATGAGAAACTTTTTCTTCATTTGTAAATTGATTGCTGTTTTCCATGATAATCCAAATCGATAACACGAAAAAATCGTTAATCAGATAAAAATGTTCAAACTGTCAGAATTTTCAATCATGGTGACTTCATGATGAATAGAAGCAAAGTCACCTAAGTAATATTTTGTTTTTATAAAAATGTATTTGCTTATCTGGTTTTTCCTTCCTGTGAGGTTATTTTTTAAAGGTCGAAATGTTGTAAAGAAAGTACCGGTTTTAAAAAGTTTTTGTCTCCACTAGAGGGTGCTATTTGAAAAAACTAGGTTATCCTAAAAAAATACATTACATTAAAAGCTATTTGCTATTAGACAAGAGAAGTTTCATTTACAATTTTTAAATGGTATTTACCAGATATAATTTTCAAAAATTAAATAAAAATAAAAAAAAACAAAAAAAATGAGAAAACTCTATTCTATCCTAAGTAGAATGATCTACTGAATCCAAAAATGCAAAAAATACAGGTTGTGCCATTTTAAATTCGAAATTTACTGTCGTTTCCTCACAAACTGGAAGGGCAACCATTGACTACATATTTTCAAAGGATTGAATATTCAACCTATATAAACCCTTCCAAATTTAAAATCGCAATCTCAAGCTGTTTAAAAGTTATAGAATATTGTCAATTTCTCGTGTCACCCAGTATATCATTCGTCTTGGCAGTGGAGTAATTTTATATTTTCTGAATTTTTCATTTCATTTTTAGTCACAAAAAAAATTAAGAATATGCAATTCACTGCGATCGATATTTCCTGTAATTTATTTCATTCTGGGGTAATATTTCATATATATAGGATTATAGTAAAACCCCAAAATGAACTAGAATGAACATTGTAGGTGGTTTTAACGCTAACCATGTAAATGCGAAATATCTGAAAAGTAATGTGGCTTTGTAGCACTTGGAAATATTTTACTAGGACGTGTAGCCTAGTGCAGTCGTATATTCGCATTAAACATCATCAAAAAAATGAATACGAGGATATATTTTTTTATTATCCTTAATTTTCTCTTTTTGCGCACAAAGGCGGAAAAATAAAATTTTCAACTTAAAGTCGAAATCATCTATTTCGTCTAATCGTCTATTTCTCACTATTGGGATCTCGGAAACGATAATATTCCATTATAAAATGGCGGAAAATGTAATATTTGCGGTTGGCGATCCTTATTTTATATATATATATATATATCTCTATCGTTGTAGTTATTTGTTTAGAATATGTCTATTATTATATAAAATTAAAAAATAATTTGATTTTTGTTTAGTTTTGATTAGTTGTTATTGTCAAAAGCAACAAGCAACTATTTAGCTGGATTAAGCATCAGAGACAATAGATTTGAATTTTTTATTTGTTTAAAAGTTTTTACAATTATCACAGATGAAAGCACTACAAGCCAGCGTGTTCCATGCCGCCCTTTATAATACGCCTTATATATCTGTAGAAATCAAACTTACAGTATTTCGTCCATTCTGAATCAGTTTGAATGTCAGGAGTTTTGAACGACAAGCTTAAATAATTTTTTAAAAGTATATTTTTTCCACCCAGTAAATATATATAAAAGAAATATTTACATCCTGATAGATATGGAAATTCGTCATACTTTGTGTCACATATTAGAAGCATTTGCACTTTCTGGACTGTTGGTAATGTGTAATTTACCAAATAAAACGCTAATTAATTATATAGGATGCCAAATAATATATAAAATTTTATTTCTATTTTACGGTAACTTTGAAGACTATCTAGTGACTAACATAATTGAAAAATAACTCCAGTAGTTCCAAATATCCCGAATGTTAATTAATGTTCCTTTCAGTGTTCCTGGTCAGCTGAAACACAGCGCAGAATTTAATATTTTGAAAAAATAATCCTTCGCAAAATGGCACGTCATCAGAAACGATTTCCCTACAAATACGTTTCCTTTATGCGTGGCTTGGCCAATTACGTCATCAAATGCGAAATCGCCTCCCTCCCCCACCCCCCCTCGATCTAACGACAGGCCGTGCACGAGACGGGAGGAAGTCCGGCCATTTTTTCTCATGGTGAACGCGGGCCGCCCGGAAGAAAAAATATCGATTTTAGATTTGTAAAATTAAAAACTCCCGGCTCCGGGGATAATATATTCAAGGAACTTTAAGATCGTCTAATCCGAGCGCGCAGCAAAACAAAAATTAGACCCATCTATCATTGTCGTTGTTGTAACGATGGCCCATTTGAATACTGGCGTGTTTAACTTTGCGGGAGTAAATTTAACAAATTTTTCGTTCGCCGCGCCGTCTGCGCCGAATATTTTACGAGTCGCTGCGGCGACGACCCGGCGATTAGTTGTGCGAAAATGTTTTTACTTTTAATGTTTGTTTCCTATTAAATAAGGGAGTTGCATTAACGTCTTTTTCGCGCTAGGAATTCCCAGACTTTCCTATACTAAGGTGTCAAATAAACATAATCTCTGACCTCAGAATTAGGAATATCCCACTTTACACTTTCAGATGGATTGAACTGAGGTGGCTTTTATTCGATGAAAATCCATTTAATACAATTAAATTAGAACAAAAGGGTTCAGATTTTGACATTTATTTACTTTTATTAATTTACTTTGCAACCTTCCCAAATCTCAGGATTTATTATTAAAAAGAAAACAAATTGCTTCACTTCACCCGTACTCCCAAAGGAAATTCGCGCCAATTAATATAGAAAGAATATAAAAAAAGCATACAAATAGATAGAGATAGAGTGAGGGTGGCAAAAAAAGAAAAAAAAGAAACATACGGGGATCTTTGGTTTTGGTCTGAAAAGGACTACATTTATCACAGCTGAGTAGTCGTCGCTGGAGATACTAACATTAAAAAAAAATAGCGAAGAATAAATTTGGATAAAAAAGACAAGTGATTTTGGGTAGACGCTCACGATTTATTCTACTGCCATCGTGTACACGACGAGTTCACAATTATTAGGCGTAATAAACCTTCAATTATTTTTAAA